GGTGAATGGTGAATACAGGCTAAATTGTTAAAGCACCCTTCTGACGAGTGCAAAACAATTTGGCGTCGCTGGTTATTCTCCAAAAATACCATATATTTGAATTCATGAAAAATGGGATTTATTGGAGGACAGTGTTAGCTGGTTATACATAGTACTCTGACAAATGATTGTATATTCAAACGTGCATGTGCCCTGAGATAAAGAAACTAGCTTTAATGACTTTTACAACATTTGCACCATCTACTGGTAACTCTGTAGTATTACAACATCTGTTTCACAACAACACTGGAACTTCCATATGTCAAATGTTGTCGCTTATTAATTTCATTCTATTTCTTTGCTTTCGAAAGGCAAACAAATGACATTTTTCTCAAGGTAAAACTCGTAGAGTCACTTGTTACAAGCAAGGTATGGATAAGAGCATCTATGAACACACATCACATTAAAGAAGATGGGTTACAGCAGCAGAGGAACACACTGGTTGACCACTCCTGCCAGCTGCAAAAAGAAAACTGAGGCTACACTTTGGCTTGGCTCACCAAACAGAACATTGGGAAAATGTGTCCTGGACTGATGATTTCTGCTGCAACATTTACAGGGTCACAATTTGGCATAGACAACACCTGCAACACAGCCATGTGGATCACTTTATGACCACAGAGTACCCATCTTCTGACAGCTGTTTCCAGCAGCATAATGTGTTTGTGACAACGCTCAGGTCATCTCAAACTGGCTTCTTGAAAATGAGAGTTAGTTCACTGTACTCAAATGGGCACCACTGTCACCAGATCTCAAGCCAGTAAGGCACCTGAGGTATGTGATGGACCACAGATGGACTCATCTACTCAAAGATGAGTTGTGACCGGTGAGCATAAATAATGCAAATCAGTAGGTGAAAAATATAAACAGACAACGTGTGAGGTCTGAAAGGGCAAGGACAGAAAATGAGTCTTAATAAAGTAAGTTGGTGGTTGCATAGTACATGCATGTACGCCATACTGAATGCCGTAATGTACTGGTACCAAAGACCTCCATCCCAAAGACCTCAGCAGCTACAGGCCGGTAGCCCTGACATCACATCTGATGAAGACCCTCGAAAGGTTGGTTCTAAGCCATCTGCGCCCCCTGGTGAAGTCTTCATTGGATCCACTGCAGTTTGCTTACCAGCCTGGCATCAGGGTGGAGGACGCCATCATCAGCCTCCTGCACCGAGCTCTGACTCACCCGGAGAAGCCTGGGAGCACTGTGAGGATCATGTTCTTTGATTTCTCCAGTGCTTTCAACACCATCCACCCTCGATTTCTGAGGGCCAAGCTGGAGCTATCAGGAGTGGACCACCACATGTCCCAGTGAATACTGGACTACCTCACAGGATGCCCACAGTACATGAGGACACAGGGCTGTGTCTCTGATATGCTGGTCTGTTGGCACTGTTCTTCTTCACTCTCTACACTGCAGACTTCTCCATCAACTCCCCACGCTGCCACCTACAGAAGTTCTCTGACGACTCTGCCATAGTTGGCCTCATCACAGGTGAGGACGACTCAGATATAGATAGTGGACTGTGGACTTTGTGGACTGGTGCCAGCAGAAACACCTGCTGATCAACGCCAGGAAAACCAAGGAGTTGGTGGTGGACTTCCGGAGATGCAGACCCACCACACTGACACCGGTGAACATCCAGAGAGTGGACATTGAGATAGTGGACTCTTATAGGTATCTGGGTGTTCACCTGAATAATACACTGAACTGGAACCACAACACTAATGCTCTTTACAGGAAGGGTCAGAGCAGACTACCTGCTGAGGCGGTTGAGGTCATTTGGAGTCCAGGGAGCGCTTCTAGAGACATTCTATGACTCTGTGGTGGCATCCGTCATTTTTTACACTGTCGTATGTTGGAGCAGCAGTTTATTGGCAGTTGAGAGGAAGAGGTTGGATAAACTCATTAGGAAGGCCAGCTCTGTTCTGGGATGCACCCTGGATCCAGTGCAGGTGGTGGGAGACAGAAGGACTCTGGACAAAATAACATCTCTGATGGACAGAGTCTCCCACCCCATGCATGTAAATGTTGCTGAACTGCAGAGCTCCTTCAGTGACAGACTGCTGCATCCTAGATGCATGAAGGAATGTTTCCACAGGTCCTTCCTCCTTGCAGCTGTCAGACTGTCAAAACTGCTCCCAACAAACATAGATGTTTACATAAGCGCTGTAATTTGCACTAATCAACCGAACACCTACTACTGTTATAAATTGCACATTACGTTTCTTAGTTTATATATACTAACTCATTGGAAGTTACATGTCTACTTTTTAATAACCAAAACAATACACAATCTGTACTTATTCTAAATATTCTTAACTGTTTAAACATATTTCAGTATCCTACTCTGTTTGCACACTACAACTATACTTATCTGTACTTGAATTTTAATAACTGTACAGTACTGTTTTGGTAACTATTGTCCATGATGTAAATATGTAAAAAAAAATTGTGTGCTTCTGTTCTATGTCCTGTTCTGTTTCTGTTTGTGTTTGTATTTTTTTGCTGCTGTTACAACCAAATTTCCGCCAGTGGGACAATTGAAGGATTATTCCATTCTATTCTAAATCAATATTTGATGCTCATGGTCTTGAGTCATCGGGTGACACAGGATTAAAATGCCGTGGAAGTCAGTGAATGAGCTCAGGAACACTTCCAGAAATGACTGTCTTCTGGGCAAAGCTCTTTGTGCCATACCAATACAGGTTAAAGCTCTATCATACAAAGAAGAAGCCACATGTGAGCATGTTCCAGTTATTTCAAATGAACAGAGGCAAAGTAGAAAACTATTCTGTGATCAGACAAAAATTGAAATTTGAAATTCTTTTTGGAAAACACAGATGCTGTGTCTGCTGGACTAAAGAGAAGAGAGACTCTGTAGCTTGTTATCACTGCCCAGTTCAAAAGCATCTCTGACAGTATGGAGCTGCCTATGGAGTTGGCAGCTTGCACATCTGGAAGGGTACCGTTACTGCTGAAAGGCATATTCAGGTTTTACAGCAATATATTCTCCATCCCTGTAAGATTTTTATCAGAGAAGGCTTTGAGTATTTGAGCAAGATGATGTTAAACTCCACACTGCACCTATAACAACAGCACAGCTTAGTGGGAGGAGTTTGGGTGCTGAACTGGTCTGCCTGCAGCCTAGACTTTGCACCAATTGAAAACATCTGGCACATCATGACATGCTATATAGCAGGTGCTGTCCATGCAGTGCTTTATATGTTCAAATGATTTAAAGTGGATTCTGATTTTCACGGGAAGCCAGTGAAGAGATGCGAGAATAGGCGTGATATGTGAGAGATGCAAAGATGAAAGGTCTCTTCATCTTTCATGAAGGGAGAAAATTAAAGTGTGTACTAAAAGTTTCGGATAAATTACAGTAAAGATTTGATTTTTTGCAATTTGCAATATTTATAAGGTGAAGGGAAAAAAAGACTGGATGGGCTTTGAGATGTGAGATACAAAATCCAGATACTGGTTAAAGATGATACCGAGGTTCTGAGCAGATGTTACGCTTCATGACTGATTTATGTTTATCGAAAGGGTTGGTGTTATTTTAATGTCTCGGAAATTACAATATCAGGTTATAGGCTTCCACAAATGTAGGCAAATATTAGTCAGCCTTTTTTCTCACTTGTCATAAATAATTATTAAAAAGGGTTTACCAAACATCACACTCCCATTAGTGCAAATTAAATAAATCAATTGTGTCATTGCCATTTAAACATTTAGACCTCTTCTTTTAGAGTTCTTTTAACTTTGGTTCTAACACGGGATCAGATTTTAGCACCAACCGGGTATCTCCTTTAAATTTGTCTTATTTAAAATTTCGTGAACAGAACTTTTGAAACTACAGAGCGGCGCTGCAGGAATTTACCTAAAGAGGGCGGCAGTTCACAACACATGAGAATCTAGAGAGTTGCATAAAAGCAAATCAGAAGCTTCACTTGAAAAGTTTTTAAATAATCTTTAATAGTGAGTCTATGAAAGTTGGTCGTTCAAAATTTTAATTTTAAGCTGTAGATAGAAAAACAATCTTCGTACACCTTTAACTGTATGAAGCTCCAGGTTTTCCTTCTTGCAGGAAGAAAATGAAAGCTACATTTGCAATCTCGCACAGCAGGGGGCGCTGTGCACTGTGATTTCATCAGGAGGGACCTAAGCCAAGGAAACACAATGAAAATTATAATGAAAAGTTGTATAAGTGAGAAGGGACGGATTTTAATCATTGATAATATTAGAATAAAAAACATTATATAATAAAACTACAGTTTTACCTCTAATATTATCTAAAGACTGTTATGAACTGGTACAGCGCAGTTCTTAACCGTCATCTTAAACAGTGTTGGTGGAATTTGCATTTACAAAAAGCAAAACACGGACAGTGTGGAGGAATTCAGCCGTAGGCATTATCAGTTGAACGAGTCTTTTATCTATTTGCTGCATCTCTTTCACGTAAAGTCCGCCGTCCGCCAACACCTTTAAATGACAATAGGAGTCTGTGGGAGACAGGTATGCAGCTTTTCAACATGCTGAGCAATGTCTGATCTCTTGGTACTGTTACGAAAACATTGCATAAAACATTGAGGAGACGACCTGGCTGAAGGATTAGTCTTTAGAAAAGCTCTGGGCTACTTTTGTGTTGAAGCACCACGACCCCACTATGCAGCCTGTAGAGCAATTGGGGAGAAAACTGGGCCTTTGGTTTAAGTTTGAACACAGTCTCTAAATGCAATACTTCACGTTTCACACGTGAACAAGTAAATTCAAATGTAAAGGGAACAAAAAAACTCGGGGCAATGGGCTATGTGTGCACATATGCGCTCTTAGCTAAAGGCTGGCTTTCGCCAAGGCTTCGCCCGGAGCGCAAAGGAGGAGGAGGAGAGGGGGCAGTGGAACCAATAGGAAGCCAGCACTAGCTCAGTTCTTTAAAACTGTGTCACAGGGGCAGAGCAATGCCACAACCAAGTTTCTGCAGCTGGAAGAGTTTCAGTGGACTATAGGCTCGTCACAGTCGTGCGTTCAAAGAGCGCGCACACAGCAGTTCTGCGTCGCGAATTTGCTTTGCACAATCCGCAGAAGAAAGGATCCACCAGTGGACTTCCTTTATTCTGGGGGGGACTGCTTTCACAATGAGCGCCGGACAGACGTACGAGAAGAAGATTGCGAGTATTTTGACCGATCTCCCAGGATCTATGAGTTGCCATCCGAACTCCAAGGACTCCCCTACTCTGCCCGAGTCGTCCGTGACGGACATGGGCTACTACAGTGGACAGACGGCCCACGGCCATCATGAATATTATCAGAGTCAGCCGTACGGGCAGCCCATGAACTCTTACCATCACCAGTTTAATCTGAACGGAATGGGAGCTGCTGGAGCGTACGCCACCAAATCTGAATACCCATACACGAATGGCTACAGACAGTACGGACATTACAACAGAGATCACCTGCAAGCTTCACCTCCGGGCTCAGGTAAATGAAGAGATAATCACAGGCTGTGTTTTGTTTTGTATATCTCCAGTGTGCATAATGTGATCTACGCCAACTTTAAATCTAATCACTTGTTTCCCTCTTGCATGATCTGGTTGGACATTTTTTAAAAAGAGGTATCCCTCATAGCAAGTTACATTTCATTATAAACTTTATTTCCTATTTGAATGCCAACTTGGCGCACATTTTGTCATTTTGATTTGATAACAATTGGTAGATATCCAAGTAATCCAAACATAAAAGTATTACAAATATAAAAGCAACGTGGTGCTCACTGATTATTTTATTTCTTGTGCAGTCATGCGTAAAAGATAATATTTGTCCAGTGGTAGTGTGCCGTTTTATGCTACTGTAGTGTTATAATTGCCTACCCTGGACTGAAACAGCAATTAATAGGTATGCATAAACTGGTAAGGGTTAGATGGTAATATATTCACTTCATAAATTTTAATGTTACCAACGTTTAACCTTTGAAGTGAAATGCAAGTTTAGACAAAAATATTTTTTTGAACCGTGAACAGTTTGGTTTCCTTCTTTGCCTCCGATGTTCTTACTAAAGTGCCATACTTGTGTTTTCAACTGAGGAGATTTTTATTATTATTATTTTGATTTAGGAAAATTATTCTCAGTTGTTGTTTTTCCCCCTCCCTGGCTAAATTTCCCATATCGCCAAATGTCTTACTACCGTGAGACTGCTACCGTTTTGTTTGTTTTTTAAATTTTATTTTCCTGGTGTTTCATGTTTAAGCCTTTGAGGCCGTTCGAAGTTCTATTCAGTGATCAATATTTATTTATTTATGTGTGTATATATTTATTTATTTGCAGTGAAAGAGGAGCCAGAGCCGGAGGTTCGTATGGTAAATGGAAAGCCGAAAAAGATTCGCAAGCCGAGGACGATCTACTCTAGCTACCAGCTTGCTGCTCTGCAGAGACGCTTCCAGAAGGCACAATACCTCGCCCTGCCTGAAAGAGCGGAGCTGGCGGCTCAGCTTGGCCTCACTCAGACGCAGGTAAGCCACCTGTAAACACCTCACATTTTCCAAATGATCAGCGCTTTAAAGTCACGTGAATTAGGGTTTCCCCAGTATGGCCAATAATGTAACCTTTAATAACACCCTGGTGCGTAATTACGCCCAGCATATATGCTTTTTGTGTCTGCACTGGATATCCCTAATTTAGGTAAACGATTAAAAATTAAATGCGCTGCTATCCTGAAGTTAAACACTCTTTGAATAAACTAGAATCACAAACATTTTAACATAACAGTTAATGCTGATCCTCTGATTCGTAGGTCAAGATCTGGTTCCAGAACCGGAGATCCAAGTTCAAGAAGCTGTACAAAAACGGCGAGGTTCCCTTGGAGCACAGCCCCAATGCCAGCGACTCCATGGCCTGCAACTCCCCGCCATCTCCCGCTGTCTGGGACAACAGCAGCACCCCTCAGAACACCCCGATCAGCAGACCTCAGGTGCCGCAGCCGACGCACAGTTCATCGCCGCCGTACCTGGAGGATTATAATAACCACTGGTACCAGCAGGGATCACACCTACAACACCCGGGAGCCGTGCACCACCCAGTCCCGCAGCAAAGCGTGGGAGCTGTTTATTAACACTGACTCAAGAGCAGATTTCTGTCTTCGGTTTTATTTCAAGCGAGGTCTCTCCACAATGACTCTGCAGAGAAAACGATGACTGGACCGGGAGACAAACCTGAGATGAAACATTGCTGTGTTTTTTTTTTGTTTTTTTTTTTAGATGATCAAGAATGTTTCAGAACTGGGTTTCCATTCACAAAAGCACATAAGGGATTTCTGATCACTTGTGGCAGCATATTTAACGGACATCTGGCGTGTTTTTAAATTATTTATCGCTTCAGTTTTTTCCTTACCTTCTTTTGTAAATGAATAAATGGTAAATATGCAAGTTTTTTTTAAATAAATAAGATGCCTATACACAAACCGAATAATAGCAAAAAGAAAAACAGAAAAACAAAACAAAAAACAAAACTGTGCGGTTGATCCATGCTACATCAAATCTTGTGGGTTTGTAGAGAGCGCTCAAAACAACTCAGGTCATATTTATATGGATTTGTACAAAATGTCGAAGGCTGTAAATATGTGTTTATATGCAGAACCACTATGATCATATTTGTTCAAACGGAACGACTGCACTGTGGTGCTTTCAAAAACCTTCTTTGTTTTTTGTTTTTTTTATATTCATGTAATTAGTCCACTTGTTGCCTTCCTGTCAATTGAATAAAGGTGTTAATTGTACGTGGTGTGTGAAGCCCCTTTCATAAAGAGCCTGTCGAGAGACGCACTGGAAAACCGTGCACACATCTCAGTGTTTTCAGTTTATGTCACCTTAAACTGCGACGCATTTTCAAACCAGTTTGAACTGGATTGAACTGTGGAAGATTTATTTGCACTGGAAGCAGACATTATAATTACAGCTTATACGGACATTTGTAAAGAACAACAAATATGCAAGCGGTAGCCATGCTTTAAATGTATATTTAATATATTTACTATATATATTTTACTTAACTTTATTTCAACTTCTAAACTGGCCAGTGCCAACATCTGTGCCGAGAGGCGTCTGCTGTTACAGGCGCAGGTACAGTGCGGCTTTTTTGGGATTTAGTGGCGCGCTGACGTGTAGACACATTGGAGTCACTCAGTTTTATTACGATTCTGCTGCCAGATAACAAGAAAGAGTTCAGTGTGTATGTGTGTTAGTAGGGGAGGGAGCGGGGTGGTTAGGTGAAGCAAGACTGTTCCGAGGGGAATCTCCCACGCACGTATGAACGCGCATAAGAATGGAAGAAAACAGTGCCAAATATTGAAGGTACGACAAAACACAAGCGCGTTTGTGTGTGTGTGGGAGAGCGCGCACCCGTTTAAAGGTTTATTCATTCCCTTTGCGTTGGCAGACTAGTCATTCACACAGTGATATAAAAGACACGTTTTTTTAATCTCACAAAAGGGCTTTCCCAGGTGATAACATAAAACAGGCTGTGTGTGCGCTCACAAAAGCTGGGGGAAAACACCTATATGAATCACCTGAGAGACGCTTCATAAACACGACAGCGACTGTTGTGACAGCTACAATAAGGCTGTCACAGGAAAAGAAGAAGAAGAAGAAGAAGAAAAAACAGCTTTCCCCGCTACATACCACCCCCTTCCCCAGCCTCGACCCTTGCGTCAGCTAATAAATAATGACAGTGGACAATAACCTCGGTTTGGCCACATAAACCTTGCGTTATTAAATATGCAGCCCAAAACTGACATGATGGAGAGCCGCTAATGGCGAGCTTATCCACATGGACCACCAAAGCGCCATTACGCAATGAGCGAAAACGTAGGGTGGGGCAGGGGCTAAGGGTGTGAGAGCTTTATAACCTTTTATACTGCTTCTAGTAACAAGAATGGTATGCCCCCATGAGTGGAGCTGTTAATGTATGAAACTTCACTGCAACATGATGTCGGGTTTCCCTAAATAATTTCGCTGATTTCTCAATTTACCTGAGACAGGAATAAAAAAAATATTTCAATAAGGCTTAATACTGATATCAGCTTTAAAAAAATAATTCTCGTTTCTAATTAATAAATAGTTTTATGTTAGGAAATTAAACCTTGGATAATTTAGCTATATTAGCCAAACGTAAACCTCAAAGTGCAATATTGGAAAAGAGTACATTAACGCAAATTACAATAAGAAAAGACCTTTAAACTAAAATAATAATAATCATTCTTATTATTAATATTATTATAAATCAGTAATCAGAAAAACTTGTAGGGATAAAACAATAATAATAATAATAATTATTATTATTATTATATTGTTTTTGTTGTTGTTGTTGTTCGATATAAACTATGTTTTCAAATTGTTTAATTATTTTACATTTAATTTTTAATTAAAAAAGAATAAAAAATACACAGCTATATTGACTCACATAATGCAAATCTGAGGGATATTAAGAAATATAATGGCAGCTATAATAATAAGTATTGGGCTGTAGAAAAATAGTTTATACTTTAAAATATTGGATATATTTCCCACGTTTTTGTCATTAAGCTGTAATAAAAACCAAGTGTTTTTCCACACCCTTTGTAGTGTGTTTAGAGATTACGTTTATCCTCAAAGTTTCTGCCAGACTTCACACACATTCTCTCATAATTCTGCTGTAAACAGTGAAATGTATCACAGCTCCCAGTTCTGTTTCCCTAATGTCTTCTTGGCTTATTTCTCTGAACCCAACACCAGTTGCCTATGGCTTCAGTCATCATGTCGATGCCCTGTGCTGATTTGACAAAAGCAATATGATTACTATTGCCTTTTAATATCAATGAAATCTCATCAAGAACACATGTGACCTCCCTTCAGCGGCTCCCTCAGCGTGTGTGGGCCTCGGCCGTAGCTGTCAGGGGAAACATTTGTGCACTTGTGTGTGTGGGCTGTAGGACATGTCGATGTATGTCATGCCTAAACATCAACAAGTGTAAGTAGCCACGGAGGTGGAGGTGAACTGTTGAACTTGAATGTGATCCTGCATGGCACGACATCACAGCACCCTAAATAGAGCTGTTGCTCAGGCCCCTGTAACCCTTCTTCTCCCTTTTCCCACTGCAACAATCAACAGTGTGGTGTCAGCACTTGTCCCCAGGGTGCAGCAAAACGGGTTGATGCGGAGGTCGGCAACTCAAATGTATCCATGGAAAGACTCTCAGCAGCTGTCCTGCACTGAGTCCCTGCATGGGCTGGGCCTTGGCTGCATTAGGATCACTCATGCTCTCCATTTTGCTGCAAACTTGGACGAAATGATGGGAGAAAGGCATTCTTGACAGCTGTGGACTTGTGAACCCTGCCTGACCTCAGGCCATGGCTGGGCCGGGCTGTGTGTTGATGCTTCACAGCCAGTCGTCACAACCCGATGAAGCCACGAGGAGACCTTTGTGCATCTTACCTTGGCCTATAAATTAAAGCTCAGGATTTAAAGACTGTCAAATGCTGAAAAGGAGAAAAGGAAACTATATTTTCCCACACTTTCATTTATGATAACACAGGCATGCTCGAATTGAATTCACTGAATTATGTGTACATACCTTTCTGCCTGCATTGTGTTTGTAATCCCTCCAGACTCTGTGTGCATCATGCCACAGAGTAAGCCAGGCCTTCCTTCAGACGAAACCAAATCATGCATTCACTCTCTCTAACAGGGAAGCTGCTCACAATTACCCGAGATGTCAGATCACTCAAGTTAATAACAATAATCACCCCAGAGACCTGCTATGCCATTCACCCATTCAAAGCAAGTGGGATTTAATAACAAGCTATTTTCCCTCTTATTGCTATCCTGCAATTAAAACCCATCAGACAGTTCGTATCTGATAACCCAGACCATCCACATCACTGATACAGTCAGACTTGGCTTTATCATTACCCTTCAACCCACCACCCCAGCTTCCACCCCCCTCCTCTTTAGCCTGTCTATTACACCAGGAGTCTTTTCACTTTCTCTTCAATCCGCCTGCATGATAATTGCCCCCCCGTTTGAAAGGTCCTACTCTTCTCTGTCCAACTCCACAAGCCCATTATTCTAATCTGGAGATGTGAAATTGCCTATAATTTTCCCTGATGCCCCGTCACTTGCTTCAGCAATGCTCGCTTCTTCTTCCCTGGGTCCGCATGTTTAACAAGGCACATAATCATCAGGAATGAGGAAAAGGGCACGAGGGTGTATATATATATAAAGAAGGAGATGTTAATGTAACACAATGCTTGTCGTTATGTGAGAAAATCAGCTCGGAGGAGCGAAAACACGGGGCTATGGTGTGGCTTTGTTCTTCACAGGAGCACCACAGAAGGCTTTAGAGCTCCCGAACAAGGTACCACTTCTCTGACTAGGTAAGGCAGGGCTGATTGCATGCTGTGCGACTGAGTGTTCTGGTGACTTGGTGTGGACATGCAGCTAGAAATGGGTGTTATTTTATGTTTTTGTATCTAAAGAGGCTGTTTTGCAACTAAAGCTTGTTTTTACCAGGTGCTCCGCTAGAAGTTCACTTAGCTTTTGTTTAGAATTATGAAAGGTGGCTGTCTGGATTATTATGAATGCATTTTCTGGGAACTTCTCTACTTCAGCATGAGGCATGAAAATCCTTTCACCACACAACTAAAATATGCAGAATTTTCAGCAATGTACTTTATAGCAACACAAGTTTAGGATAAATATTTCCAAAAGGCTTCACTTTATTTTTTTAAACCCTGAGTGTGACATCAGGAAAAAAAGATAACTAATGCTTGCCAGACAGTTTGAAGCAGCAGAGTGATGAATGAAAAAGACAAAAAGAAGTCACTGGCTGTTTCTCTAAGCTTCATTAAGCAGAAATCAACTCTCCATTTAATCAAGAGCATCAGCCCCGATTGTTTGCAAAGGTATAAATAGCTAAGTCTCCGTGTTTAAACAGTCTAAGCACTAGAATTAGCAAATCATTTCAAAAGACTATAAATCAGGCGAGGTTTATTGTCGGGACAGAGCAGCCATTTATCATCTGATTATGATAGGGCGAGTTTGCTTTTTGATCTCACTGGAAAATAAGGGAAATATTGTAAAAATGCTTTCTTGCACGTCATCTCCGCTCTCCACTTTGATGATGAAAAAAGATGGATGGTGGATATTCTCTTCAACGTCTTTAAACGCATACAACTGTGTGTTTTTAGACTAAACACATTTTATAACCAACACCCAAAACAAGCAATAAAAATGCAGTGAAATGTTATTTTTGAATAATATTAAAGGTATTTTTAGCTGTAATACTGGCTTTCAGATAAAAGCATTTGAACAGCACGTGTCTTAGAGTTTTTATCCTGTGCAGAAATGTTACGTTAAAACTCAGCCACGGTGCGTAAAGGTGGCCACCCTCTCTTTTTTGTCTCAGCTGGAAACAACTGCTTTCCTGTAAGGCAACAGCCTTCCTTTCGATTTATATCGAGCCCAGTCATACTCAAACGGTAAAACCAAAACAGCCTACGAAACCGAAAAAAAGATACCAGGGCCGATATTTGCTTTTTGTCTAACAGAAATCAATCCCCAGGTGTTTTGACAATGGCTGTCGAAATTCAAGCAGGGTCGCAGGTTTTTGTGGATCGCAGTTCAGGAGTGTTGATGGACAAAAAACAGCTTTTATCCTCGCACGGCATTATCACAGGCCGAGCTGTGCAGTGCTCAGAAAGCTCTGAAGAGTTTAAGCTTGTGTTTGTCAGTGTCTCATAGCACCGGTTGTTATTAATCCAGGCTTCTTTAAGGAACCGGCAATTCCATCTTTCTTTTGAAATTACCTGAAAGTGAGGGGAAGATAAAGAAACCTAAGCAAAGACATTTAGTGACAATAAAGTGACAGCTGGTTAACTGCTGGCTAATAAAGCAGACGCACGGACACAGTATATTTGAAAAAAGTTATTTTATCCAGAATGTCTTTTAAACTGCACACACAAACCCACGTTTCACTGATGTCAGACCCTGCAACAAGAGCTTGCAGTGATATAACGCCCCCCCCCCCCCTTTTTTTTTTCTTTGATGCCTGAATAGTTCTTGTAGTGAGAATTTTAAAATTCAAAACACACACAGAATACAGTGAATATAAACAAGGTCTCCTAAACTCTCAGTTCTGAGAGGAGACCTCTGGAGGAACCAGCAAGTTCAGTGCAGCCCGATGGACTCAAGTGTCCAAAAACTGTCCACTCACATCATCTGAGGCCTGTGCATCGCGTCCTGATGATGAGGGTGATGATTCGGATACCAATGACCGAAAGTGTTCATGTAACTGCTCGGATGGACCGGGGCTCCTTTGTTCGCCATAGAGACCTCCCATAGCTGGGGCAATGCGGGCGAGCAGGGAGAGATGGAGCTGGTGCCGTGGAGATGTTCTCCCTCTGATCCGCTGCCATGCTTCATGATCTTTTTGTACTTGGAGCGCTTATTTTGAAACCATATTTTCACCTAAAGTGGGAGAACAAAAGAGAAAATGGGCATAATTGTCACTGCAGTTAACAATCAGCAGCAATATAAAAGAAATCTCATTGTCGTTTTCTTTTTATTAGCATATTTCCCCCGCATTAAACTCGGTGTTCTTTTCATCATAAACTACCCCGAAGGGAACACTGTGAGCAATAAAGAAAGTAAAACTCATAATAACTCATCTTTTGGGGTTGTTTTTGCAAGTCCCAGGCCTAATCTTGGCGCACAGTTAGCTATTCAGCCTTGCAGATGAGTGCCACTTGTTACCCATTAAAGCTAAGCCCTTTTATTGTTCGCTGTTTTATAAGTCTAGTGATGCATGAGTGTGACAGCAACAAGCCGGGACTGAAAGAATTGTGAAATAAAAGCGGCTCCAAACGCGCCGTGATAGGTCAGCGAAAATGTTTGTGGGTTCAGTTCATGGTGGCTATTTTTATACCCGAGAACAATGGTGTGAATATTCATTTTTAAAAAAAGAAAGCACCAAAGAGCCCGCTGGATATCTAGGCAACAACAACAGCACCAACAACCACACGAATGGCAGAACAACTGGGAGATAATTGTCGGGAGAAGTGTTCAGGGATTAAGAATAAAGTGCAGGAAGCGGCTGAGATGACAGGGTGGATTTCATAATATTGTTTATCTTCTATTTTAAAACTCTGACGACTTAATCGTTTAACTTTAGAACTCAACTGAAACAAAAAAAAAGTGATCCAAAGGTCTCATTTTTGTCCCATCCGAGGGGGGTCAGTTGACACGTGCACCTGTTTGTCTTGGAAACGCGTGTAATTATTATAGTGCGTGTGCATGTGTGCTTGTGTGGCCTATAGGTACTGAAAGACTTACAACTACACCGTAAAAAAGTACGTAAAACGAATAAATACAAGCATATCCCATTGTTAGGGGCTGGTTTAATACTCTATAATAAACTACTGAAAAACATCTGCCAACCACTGCTTTTGCATATATTTTTTCCTCCTTTTGGTAATTTTGTTCCTACTGCAGCCACTGATCACAAAAACTCTTCAAGGACCGCAAATGACAAAAGAGATACAGCCAGTAAATAAGGAATGTATTAAGGGATAGGGGTATGAAATTGCTGTGATCCTCGATAATGCTGCAAGTATTTCTTTTCAATCATATCCAACACTATCCTCTTTCACTAATACATATATTTTATTCAGTCTACCATGAGTCACACTGATTCAAAATTGTTGTATATAAATTATTAGTTTATACAAGGAGTGGAAATGTTGCAAGGGAGTCATTTTAACCATAACATATTGACTATTTCTAGCTTTCACTACATCCTCCTAAATAATCTGTTTATTAGTTAATATAGTGCATAAACGATAGAGAGCCTCGCAAAGTGATGCGTTTAAGGCCTACCTGAGTTTGTGTGAGCCCCAGCTTTGCCGCAAGGTCTGCGCGCTCCGGTAAGGCCAGATACTGTGTCTGCTGGAAGCGCTGGTGCAGAGCCTGCAGCTGCAGACTGGAGTAGATGGTCCGAGGCTTGCGAATTTTCTTCCCTTTTCCATTTAGACGAATGTCTCTGCCTTCAATCACAGAGGACTTGTCGTGGTCTTGAAGATGAAACACAGAGCACAGAGTTTGAGCAGAAGAAGACGTCCGATTTATGAGTTTTCATCATATCCGTCAAACCAAAGCGTAAAAGTCCCATTGGACAAGCTTTGAACGTGGTCTCTGAGCAAAACCTACAGTTGCAACCAACACGAAGACCAGAGGAGTAGTTCGGTTTTACAGCCTTAATGCATACAAATTGTAGTCTCCGGATACTGCATCTGATAGGCCCTGGACGCCAACACAAAACGCCAGGGCCTGAAACGAATTACATTTGCGCATCAGATATTAATCTAATGCTCCCAAATTCTACCTTAATCTGGACGGAACATTTTAGTGCGAGCTTCACGTGGCAATGTTTACACTTCTAAGCTTTCTGGATCAGAAGGCCGTAATGCCAACAACACACGCAGCAAATGATCACACACACAAGGATGAAAGGACGGTTTTATTCCGACACCACTGGGTTAATGTGCATTAACAATAGGGGTACCTGTGGTAGGCCCAGACCATACTCAGAGAATATTATTAATATATTAATTAATATTTAATGCGACTGCATATCTTTCTTATATAACAAGGCAAAGAAAGAACACCCTACCGAGACTTAATCCTTTATTATTTCTGCATTAATAATAATAAAAATACCCCAATGTGAACGTACCTCCACTAAGATTATTTTTTTAGTAAATCTTTGCAATGAAAAAAAAAAAAAAAAAAAAAAAATATATATATATATATATATATATATATATATATATATATATATATATATATATATATATATATATAATCAACTCACTACACATCTAAACGCGCTTTCCCCCCCTCTCCCTTGCCATGTGCGCAAATAGACTTAAGGCATATCAGTTTATGGCCGTTAATGATATACAACAGTTCAGTGACTTTCTCACGTACCTGTGTGCTCTAATCTGCTGTGGGTCACACTGTTGCTGTTGCTGTGATTGCTGTGTTGGTAGGGCATGTAAGCGGACGGGGGATGAGTGTTCACCGTGCCGGGGTAGGCGTAGCCCAAAGAGCGGCCATAGGACGCGGTACCAGGAAAGGGGCTTTCGTGCTGGGAATGGCCAGCAGCTTGCAAGCCGTGAACCGGATAAACGTGAGAGAGTCCGGAGGAGTGCTGCTGGTGCGTCGAGTGTCCGTGTCCGAATTCTAGAAAGGCCGACTTGGAGGGATCTGAGCCATTCAGACTGTCAGGGATAAAACCCACAGACATCATTAGCTAATGCGCAAGTCCACAAACCGTCGCTCTGAAGAGGGTTTCATGAGTTCTGTCGGACAGCCTGGAAGAAATCCACGCGTAACTCCAACGCATCATCAGCGAGAAAAGAGCCCCCAGTGGTTACAAGTTGTGGGGTGCATGCTCATAACTGTCGGGGAGTCAAAAAAATCAAATAAAAGCGAAAGGATCCGTCTTTACATCACGAACAGAGCTCACATGGTTCTTCAAACACCTCCTGCCCGCAGAACCTCAAACTCACACTGGCTTCCATCTACGAGCGCTCTGATTGGTCTTCGGCAGCCAGCTGTCACTGAAGCTCCGCCATTAACTTCATTAACATATGATAGACCTATACAGGATGCAGCTCTGCAGCCCAGAGGCACCTCCTTCCATAGATTAGCAAATAAATATAATTACTATTTATTCCTTTCTCCATTAAGCAATATAAACAACAACTCCCAGGACAATAATCTCATTTTGAGAATTTGAAAAAGAGAGGAAAAACGAGCCAAACTAAATTTATTTGACTTTATTTACTGAATAATATGTGTTTGTGTGTTTCCATGTGCCCGACGCTCTTTTACAGAACGAATCGGACTCATTCGGGGGTGTAAGCAATTTAGTAACCAGCAGAAAAACATCATGCTAATTTTGCTCATTCTTATGTGGCGTTAATGATCACGATTAAGGTCGGGATTGTGAACGCTGTTTTTTTTCCAAAGCTCCAATGTTTTTCTTCTGGTTTTAATAATCGAAATTAAGGCAAACGAAGTTTCTAATAAATTCTTCCTGCATCAAATCTGCGACAAAAAGTTTAATTTCTAAATTTCAGCAGTGTACTCAACGACATTCCTGCACTGTGCTGCCAGAAAAAAAAAGAATTAAAAAAAATATAGTAGTTTACTGCGAATAACCCCTGAACTAACCCTGTCGAGAGACATTTTCCAGTATTTGGAAATTCACTTCTTTGATATTGCAACAAACACTTAAAAAATCTTAATAAATGCAAGTACATATACAACTGCTTACAAAGCATGCTTTATTTATTTATTAAAGTGTAACAGGAAATGTTTTTGTTCATTTAATGCTCATTAAAATGTCATATTTTCATTATTTTAGCTTGTGTAATGCTTCTACAGTCAATTTAAACGCAGGGAAATGCGGGCAATAATACACAGAGATTCAGTGACACACATTATTTTTAAAGTATGTGTCATTTATTAGTCTTAGAAGGTTCTGGCTACTGCAGATGTGTGAATGTGACAAATATTTCCAGACATATTTCCATACCCTGGAAACCAGAGGGAGAAATAGAAGACAAAGAATAACAAAGTCCGGTATTTATTTATTTTGTTCTGTGAAACTAAGGGGAAAAAAGGTCAGCCCACACGTCACTCATATTGTCACCACACGATAAGGTTTATAAAACAAGGGAAACTTGCCAAAAGAGGGCAGAATTGCAACTGCGTGGTCAGCAAAATCTAGAAGGTGCTCGTGGATGCAGATGGAGAGACAACTGTGGCAAGAGGCCCAAAGTAGTAATAACTGTTTCTATATTTTCAGGCATGCCTGTTTCAGTCTGGAGCTGCAGTCTCAATCGACTACTACGAGAAAGCTACTGCGGCTACCGAGGCTTTTGCTTTCAATAAAACCACGTTTTACAACACAGTTTGATACAGATCTCAGATAAATCACATATAAGCTGCAGCGAAATTATAAACAGAGTGTTTGGTGGGTTGAGTGTGGTGCTGCGCTGCTGTCCAACCCCGTCATTTTGGTCATGTCCCTACCCTGCCTGAAACTACTGGGAATCCAGCGGCATTAAAGGGCCTGCTGGGGGCTGGACTGCTTCCCAAATCTCCCCACAGGCCTCAACCATGCAGCCAGCCAGAACAAAGCCACAAATTATTATCACAGTCAAATTTCAGTCACAATAAACGAAGAAGAAAAAAATCGGCAGTGAGGCCAGTTTCATATTGTGGGCGACACTGGCTTCACACATAAGAGTTGTAAATGGAAATGGTCTCTGGGAAATTAGAGGTGTTACGTCCATTGGCGTTTTACTGCAACATTATTGTGTTACTGCAGCGTGGAGATTGGAGTTGGAGGGAACTGATGTGACTTTTGGAACAGGTGTTGCTTTCACGGCTTAAAACACCATTGCGCACCGCACAACGCACGGCCTCAGTTTAATTCTTTGAAGGCATGGCCTGTATACAGACACAGCTCTGGTCTTAGGCACTTCCTGGATGTGTGTCAGAGCTAAGGGAAGGGAGGAAGCAAGGTGAGGAGGCTCTTTAAGGTTTGTAATTATGCCTGTATTACCGGTAAAGAACAAAGGCGGGCCCTGCAGTCATAGGGCAGGGATGGACGTTGCTCTATTAATACACGCACAGGGATGATGTTAGAAATAGTCACACTCCTGAATGCAGCCCAGACTTACTGGCGTCTTACTGTGCTGCACAATGCGCATGAGCGTCAAATCTGCAGAGGTGTGTTTGACATAGGTGTTCTCTCTCTCTCTCTCTCTCTCTCTCTCTCTCTCTCTCTCTCTCTCTCTCTTAAACACACACAAGCACGCAAACCGATCGAGTTTGTCCATCTCTAATGCAGAGTGACAGTGTTCTTTGTGTACACACCAGAAAAAACACACACTCCCAGGCAACTGCCGCCACTGTGATCTTCCCCACTGTGGCACGTCTTGTTCTACAAGTAACCCTGTGCTGCTGGAGCTGAGCCGAGGCCCAGATACAGGATGACAGTCCATGACCCCCGCACACCCCGAGAAGTGGATGCAAGCATTTATTATCACAGGCTCAACTCAGCACATAATAGACCCGAATAAAGACCCACATGTCCAATTTAAGCGGCACAGCCTGATGGCTCTGAAGCCGAGGCGTGCTTTGACACAATTATCCAACTAGGAATGGATCAGAAACAACATCCCAGGATTTTCTTAAATTATTTTGTGAGATTGAGGAATATCTATGTCGCATATGTGCATGCTTTCGTATTTTAGGTGTTAAGATTGAAGAAAGCTTCCTAGTTTGCCGGTAAAAAATAAAAAAATAAAACATAAGAATGTGTCCGAACGAGGCGGCTGTGTTTCATCTGTGCAGACAATAGGCCTGACATTTTTCTGACTGTTCTTTGCCCCAGGAAAAAAGAAAATAACGAAAGAAGTAGAGAAGAGAGAAGGTTCCAGAGTGGAGCTGAGGATGAACAGCCTTAATCTCACCTCCAGGCGAAGTCATCACACAGAAACACTCATATCTGCACCGGCCGGATCCTCATTCCTTAAGTGCCGTGCCTTTGCTGGCAGCCTGTGAGGGCCCACAGAGTTCAGCTGTGTCACATGATCAGCATCATTCCAGTGCCGGGTACACACAGATCTAATGTGTACTCACTGGTTCCTCTGACTAAAAATAAAACACCTGCTCATTGGATTATTTTTTTCATCACGCAATTTCCTCATGAAATTTGTTTTTGCCAGTCGAACCACAGAGAAGACGGACTGCGGTTTCATGTTTCCCCCACCGCTCATTAATTTAAATGTTATTTATAATTTCACAACAGAACAGCTCACCACTCACCACTTCAAGTTCATGATACTTTTTTTTAATAATCTCCTCATTTTCGAATAATAAAACTAAGGTTTTTTTGTTTTAAATTCAAATACAAATATTTCTTTCCTCCTTAAATTCAACATGTTTTCGTTCGTAAATATATAATTTTCAATAAGTTTTGTTTAATAAGGTAGTTTTGTGAAAAAGTTCGTGTCTGCAGTCTAGCTATTATTATTTGCAATTTAATTAAATTAATTCTATTCTGTTTTCACATTTTATTTTATTTTTTTTTACTAAAAAAAGTTTTGGAGCCAATAAATAAATAAATAATTAAAGATGCCAGTGTGCTAGCAATCAATAAAATGGAAAAAGAAAAATGCTAATATGACTATTCAGCATCTTCAAATAATTAAAATGCAGGGAGAAACGATCTTTTTCTTGATGAATTCTTTGCGAAATATTCAGACTAAAATAGCCCAAGGTCCAAATATACATTATTATACCAGTTATAGTTCTTATGACGCATTTTTGTGCAATTACAAAATTTAAATTGTTTTTTAGATTTTAATCCGACCCATTTATTGAGCTATCTGTCAAAATTCGGCACCAAAATAAAGACGAAACGAGAAAAGGGGACACAGGACATAGAGAAAATGGGTAGATAGCCTGAATAGCTCAGAGGAAAAAGACACACGTACAATTAAATCTAAAAGCTAAAGTGACTCGAAGTGAATATTGTTGCGTGGGAAATGCCGGAATGTGCCTGGTTTTCCAATCTTAAGCACTAAATTCATCATTGGCATAATTGTTGCCAGACAGCAGATGACAGCAGCATCGCCCACTGCCGCTCACGGTTAAACTTAAACTTAAACTGACTGGTTAAATACAGATGTCTAGGCAACTCTGTACAAAAAAGAAAGAAAAGAAAAAAGAAAAAGATATAAATAAAAATCCTTCAGGAAACCGTTAGCCGCAATATGCAGGATGAACCATTCTAGTGCAGCCTGAGCTTGATGGCACACGGGGCATCTGATTTAAATGGCTTCATTTGCATTTGGCATATGGGTAAATTATGCATTGCTGATTTTTTTTCTTTCTTCCAGCCTTCTTCTCTGGTTTAGTGGCGGCTCCAAATACCCAGTTGGTATTATTCTGACTGTGGGCGCACACCGTGACCAGTGCACGCACTTATCTCTCCATGAAAATGCCACTGTGTCAGCAGGCACTAACCTGTCCGCATGGATACAGTGAGAGCCCAGCTGATGGACAGGCAGTGGGAGTGTATAGAGGTACATCTCCAGGCCTGCTCCACATCTGGAACAAAGAAGCCAGTCTGGGTCTACCCTCGGTGTTTACAGCTCTGTTGTTTTTTCACACTCCTCGCAAAATCTTGCCCAAACACACATTCCAGACTCACCAGCTCAACATGGGGGAAAAAAAATGCTATATTTTTCCACTGTAAATCTTGCCCCCAGTACCAAGGGAGGCAGGCAGAACAACAAAAGCTTGAAGCTGGCATGGATCAGTGGAGGCGACAGGAGGGTGGCAGCGGCTCCAGAGAAAGAGAGAAAATCCTGCGTGGCTGGGTGGCTGACATGGCACATGAGTTTAACTGAGGTCAGAAACGGCTGATGGGATGGCATCACAGGCCATTACAACATTTCTGAAGA